CGGCCGTTAGGCCCGGAGCGTGCACAACGCTGACTCCGCCCCCAGTCAATCAGGCGCGAGGCGGCCTCCTCACTTCACTCACCGCGAACAGGGCTCCCTCCGGGCGCGCTCCCACCAGCCCCCGCCTCCCTGGGCCGCGGACACCCCGCGCGCGGGCGCGCTCCCGTTTTGGGCGTTCGGTCCTGCCAGCCGGGGCGCGCGCACGCGGCAGTGCGTTGGTCCCGATGCTGGGGCTGAGAGCGCGAGCTCTGGCGTGGCCAGCTCCCTGAGTCGGCTGCGTGCTCCGCGGGCTGCCCACGCGCACGGGACCCGCGGGGAAACGCGGAGACCAGCCCCTCCCTGGACCAAGGCTCGGGTCCGCTCCTCTGGCTGTAGGGCGGCAGCCCTGCCTGGCCCCACCAGCAGCCCCCACAGCTGCTTTAGTTTTGGGCCTCTGAGGCGCGTTCTCTCTCTCTCCCTGCCCTTTATTTAAAGCAGGGTTTCCTAACCCTAGGTCTGGACCTAATATAGGTCGCTCTTACATTTCAAAAGCGTCACCAGGTGTCGCCGCAGGTGTCTCTTAAGAAGCCATTCACACGGTTTTTTTAATTGCCTTGAGTCACCTACTCTTCCTGCATTGTCAGAATGGGTCCCCATCTGGAAAAGGTTGGGAGATTGCAGCCCTCACGGGTGGGAATCACAAGCTGATTAAACACCTACCTGCAAATAAGTGCTCTGAGGACACTTGTCTTCAGAAAGGGGCACAAGGAAGGTGGGGAGTGAATTAGAGGCCAGCCTACCTCCAAAGACCCCCAAAATAGAGGGTAAAATACAAGTTATGAACCATTAAAAAACAAGTCCTGGGGCACTTTAGAAATTAACAAAAATATATAGTATCAGGCATGTTCATGGGCAAGGACCACCTCAGATGAGCTTGAGTAGAAAAAAAAAAGGCCTTGTTTTCCTCTCTGCTCAGCTCATCTGAAGAAGTGGGTTTTGCCCATGAAAGCTCAGAATACAAAATTATCTATTTGTTAGTTTCTAAGGGTATGTTTACACAGCAGCATTACTTTGGAATAACTAACGTTATTCCAAAATAACAGAGTACATCTACACAGCAAGCCTTTATTTCGAAATAGCGGTCCATTCCACTTAGGTGATTCCCAAGCCACCCCAAGGAGGTGGGGTCAGAATCCTAAAGAGAAACGGGCTGTAGCACTGCTGCACCCACAGCTGCATCCTGCCTCGTCTGTTGTGTGATCGCAGAGTGGGTAGTGAACATGTGGACTGACAACCACGTGGCCACCCTGCAAATGTCTAGAATTGGCACTTGATGCCAAGGCCCTGGTGGAATGGGCCATGAGAGGAGGCACTGGTTTCCCCCTCAGGTCATAACATGCCCTGATGCAGGCAGTAATTCAAGAGGACAGATATTGAGCTGACACTGGGCAACCTTTCATCCTGTCTGCTATAGACACAAAGAGCTGAGTAGATTTGCGGAATTATCTCATCCTTTCCAAATAAAAGGTGAGTGCCCTCCTAACGTCTAGTGTGTGTAATGCTTGTTCCTTCCCAGCCGCATGCAATTTGGGGTAGAACACTGGCAAGAACATTTCCTGGGACATGTGGAACAGACACACCACCTTGGGCAGAAAGATTGGGTGTGGATGTAGGGTCACCTTGTCCTTTGAAAACACTGTATACAGCGGCTCCGAAGAGAGGGCACGTAGCTCTGAAACCCTTCTAGCTGAGGTGATGGCCGCCAGGAAT